AAATCCTGAATCAGGGAGACAGATCTGAGAGCATACGCCCCTATCTCTTTGCGGATCCATCTCGCAATAAAGCTGATTTCTTTTCCCAAAAGCTGATGCTGTAATAATTGGCTTTTTAATGCACATCAGGCAAGAGAACACCAATTTTGTGCAGTAACAGCAGAAGGACATGTACAGTACATTTTTGTAATGTCAAAAAGTGCACAAAACATCGATTTAGTATTTGAAGATCAAGTAAAGTGAAAGGAGGAGTCATAAAAATATCCGAGGAAGTGTATTCCAGGCAGAAGGAGCAGCCCGTGCAAAGGCCCTGAGGCCAGACTGTGTGTGGTGTGTTGGAGGAATAGCAAGGAGGCCCATGTGGCTGAAGCACAGTGAGTGAGGGGGAGAGAAGGAGGAAGTGAGGGCAGGGAGGTGATAAGGCAGGTCGTGCAGGGCCTGTGGGCCACAGAGAGAAGCTGGACTTTTGCTCTGAGTGAGGTGTGAGCCAAGGAGGGTTCCCAGCAGATGAGGGACATGGCCTGACTTAGGTGCTCACAGGCGCCCTCTGGGTGATGCAGGGAGGACACACTGTAGGGGCGGGGGCAGGAGTTCCCAGAAAGGATAGAAGCTACTGCATCGGTCTAACTAAGCACGTGATGATGAAGGCTGGACAGGGAGGTGTGAAAAGCAGGCAGATTTTGCTGATGAACCAGAGGTGAGTGTGAGAGAAATGGGGATGTCAAGGAGAACCCCAAGATTTCTCTCCCCGAGCTAACTAATATTTCCATTTTTCTCTTGAATCCTTCCAGAGGTGGGCTGAGCACCACAATAAAACACAGTACATTCCTTTTACTCCTCTCTTTTATTGGGAAATATATAGACACTCTGGAAATGTCTCCATATCAGTTCAGAGCCCTGCATTTTTTCCCCAGCTGCGTATTATTCCCTTGTCAGAATGAACCACTGTTCATTCCCCAGCCCCCAGGTTCCCAGGACCACCAGGTGCCAGGCGAAATCTCTATCTACAGTTTCACACTGAATCTCCACAGCTGCCCTATGAGGAAGAGTTTGTTTGTCCTCTATTTTCTCAGATTCAGAGAGGAGCAGCCACAGCCATTATGACTCCAATTCCAGAAATAAACCTGGCTCTGCCCTTTTGTTTTGTTTTGTTTCATTTTATGAGGAAGATGAGCCCTGAGCTAACATCCAATGCCAATCTTCCTCTTTATTTTATTTTTTTGCTGAGGAAGATTGGCCCTGAGCTAACATCTGTGCCCATCTTCCTCTACTTTATATGGGACGCTGCCACAGCATGGCTTGACAAGTGGGGAGTCAGTGCATGCCCGGGATCCGAACCTGCGAACCCCGGGCCACTGAAGCGGAGCGCGTGCACTTAACCACTTGTGCCACCAGGCTGGCCCCAGGCTCTGCCCTTTTGTGCTTTGTGACCTGGGAAAGTTACTCGACCTCTGTTAAAGCAAAAATTATTCAGACACATGTTAAAACGGTAAGGAAGACTTTATTCAAGACTATTGCAATAGGGGAGAGAGATCTCGTCACTGAACTCAATGGGTCTGTCTCTTGTGAGTGTGCAGCTGAAAAGCATAACAAAGGCTGAAGCCCGGGGAAGAAAAAGGTTTATTGCTTGCACAAGCAATGGAGAAGATGGGGGATAGCTGGCAAAGCAGTGCCCTCCCCCTCCCCCTGCTTAGTGCTGGTGGAGACTTTATACCCCAGAGTACAGAGGATATGTTACAACTGTGTAACAACTGGGACTAATCAGGGCACACGTGCAGGCCATTACATACTCCGCTCAAGGCACCATTACCTAACAAGTTCACTGCAACATGCCATTACATAACGGGTTCAAGGAACATCTCATTACATAACAGGGCCATGGTAACTTTTGGACACTTAGAGCTGGAGCAATTTGCAGGGGTCCTGCTGCGACTGTGTAAGTTTCACGGCAGGAGGGCAACATCTGCAAAAACAAAGACATCAACTTCTGAAAAACAGCACATTTAATTTTCTCCTTGTCTGGAAAACATTTCACAGACTATGTTTAGTTATGGATCTGATTTTCAGTAAGACTTTCCTTGCCTGGTTTCTGGTCACAATCTGGCTCAACTCTGAATATAGCAAAGACAGCTGGGGATTGCTAGCCAGAGAGCAGAAGGAGGGGGTTCATGTAAGGAAAATTAGTAAGAGGAGACATTAAGGTAGGGGGATTCTTGCTAAATTTGTTACTGAACCTAAACTCAGGTTCTTCTACCTGCTGCACAGTAGGGCCAATACAGAAAAAAACCTGAAACCAGGCTTGTGGCATGGAAAGAGGTTTACTATTATTGAAAGGCAGCCAGACGAAGAGATGGGAGTTAGAACTCGGATCCACCTCCTCAAAGGGAAAAAGGTAGGGGTTTTTATCTGGGGCTTTAGGTAGGGGAGGGAGAGCATGTGCCGGGGGTTTAGCTAGGGGACAGGGACCATGTAGCCGTGCTGGTTGGCGCCTTCCCACCAGCCTGTGTTTGGCCTTGAAGACTGAATTTCTTTCCTTTGACTGTCTGGACTTTTCTGCTTAGTTTTTACCTTCAGCCTGCGTTTGGCCTTGTGAGGCTGAATCTTGATGTGTGGACCTTGACTTCCTGGGAAAAATAGCTCACTCATATACTAAGGAAGGACAGAGAGACCTGGTTAGTTTTAAACAACAGTTGATTATGCTGAGTATGCACAGCTGCAGTTAGCAAAGCTTATCTCCAAGTTTTTGCTCTCTTCTTCTAGCCCAGGGAAGAGTTTTTAACTGCTTCGTGCTGGGTTTCAAACTGACCTAAGAAGAGTCTTGCTAAAGAGAGGCCATGGACTCAAAGGTGGGGATGAGGAACCTGATCAGATGTCTTATATATCAAAGGTGGGGGGAGGGGCCAGCCCGGTGGCGGAGTAGTGGTTAAGTTCAGGCGCTCCACTCTGGTGGCCCAGGTTGCACAGGTTTGATCTGCAGCATAGACCAGACGCACCACTCATCAGCCATGCTGTGGTGGGGTCCCACATCCAAAATAGAGGAAGATGGCAAGGATGTTAGCTCAGGAGCTAATCTTCCTCAGCAAAAAGAGGAAGATTGGCAACGGATGTTAGCTCAGGGCTAATCCTCCTCACCAAAAAAAAAAAAAAAAAAAATGTGGGAGGATGACTTAGAAAGATTCTTTGCTCAGACTGAACCAGGCAGGCCAAAGCCAGGACTGGGGCCAAGGTTGAGGGCTAGTCAAGAAGAGGGCTCAGAGGACTAAAGTTTGGTCAAAGAGAGTCTTTGTCACCTCTCTGTGCCTCAGTTTCTTTCTCTGAGAAACGGGGATAATAAGAGCCCCCAGAGGACAGCTGCCGGGATCAAATGCGATAATGCGCGTAACACGCTCAGCGCAGAGCCTTCTCAGTCAATGGCAGCGACTTGCTGTGCGGGGATCAGGTGGGACGTCCAAGCTGCTACGTTGACAGCAAGAGGGCCTCAGAGGCCGGGGCTGCAGGTGATCAGGAAGGGATGTGAGCAGGTGGGCCCGAAATGCCTCCCGCAGAGGAGGGGGGTCTCGGCCAGCGAGGTGGGGTTGGCCCAGCAGCGCCCGGGAAGAGAGGCAGGACGGAATGAGGAGACGACGTATGGCAGGGAGGCTGGAGGATCGGATGGCGGCCGGCTGCAGCCTTGATCGCCCGGGTGAGGACAGGGGGCTTGCACCAGGGTCAGCTCCGGAAGCCTGACTTGGGACCACCGACTGCGCGGGTAACCGGAGCTGCGGCACCGAGGGCGGACTACGCTCTCCCGCCCACGCGTGCGGGCCTCCTTCTTCCGCGTCTCCGCCCACCCCGCGGCAGCCAATCGCTGACGCGGCGGCGCATCCGGGTGCCGGCCCAGCCAATCGCGTTTCAGCGAGACAGTGAAGCCGGAGACCAATAGGAGCGCAGCTGTTGCCGCGAGAGGACAAATAGTTACAGGGAGCTGGCCAATGAGAGTGCCCGTTTCAGGCCGCCAATGGGAGGCGGCGTCTCGGCGGCTGTCAGACGGCGGCTGCGGCGGGGTGCCGCGGGTTCGAGCCGGAGGCCCCGGGAACGGGTGAGTCTGGAGCGCGGCACGGAAGGGGCGCACCCGGGACTCGTCAGGAAGAATGCGGCCGGCCGGAGGCGCGGGACTGGCTGCGCTTGGCAAGAAGTGGATCGAAGCACCCTCAGGACTCGTGGATGCCGGGTGGGTGCACATCGCGGTCCCCACCCCTGCCAGCCCCTGCCAACTGGGTTTGGAGGTTTGCGGGTGTGTGGGGTGCAGCCTTTCCAGGTGCAGATCTCACCCTAACCCCATTTTCAAAGCTGGATCTGGGCCCCGTGGGAACGAGGAAGGAGGAAATGGGCACCCAAAAAGCACTATCCCCAGGATCTTGTCTTAAACGTTAATAGATAATAATAGTGGACATTTATCGAGCGCTTACTGCATACCAGGCCCTGTCCCGATCCCTTTCCCTGCCTCATCTCATTGAATCCTCCCAACACCCTTTGAGGGAGAGATTGCCATAGCCCCATTTTCCAGATGGGGAAACAGGCTCAGAGAGGAGCTGATTCCTGAGAAATCCGATCCTGTGCTATTGCAACAGTCTCCTCTTCCCTCACTGTTTGTCTTAGTGCAGTAACATCGGTGGAATCCCAGACAGCTCCTCCCTGGAGATGCCGGGGACCGCAGGAGGCCTGGGCCTGGGCCTGGCTCTGGAAAAGTCCCAGAGCTGGACTGTGGGGGAGAGAGCAAAACACAACCCTTGCCCAGCTCGGGGGAGTCAGCCGCGACTGGGGTCACGTGTGGGGGTGGATGTGGGAGGCAGGAATCTCGGCCTGAATGAGAAAATCAGGGTGATGAATGATTTGATGAATAATAATAATCTTATGAATAATAATCTTATGAATAATAATAATTTGATTCTTGCTTTGCTTGTCATACTTGTTTTTTCATGCCTGTTTCAACGTCTGTGCTGAACATGTAACATACTGAACCGCACTGAAATGTTACAACCATCTCTTCATGGCGACACTTGCAGCATCTCCATTTTCCAGATGGGGAAACTGAGGCCCAGTGTGGCCAAGTGACCTGCCTGAGTTGACACAGGGAGAGCCGGGATTCGCCCCCAGGTCTGTTTGACCATAGTTGCCTGCCTGGTTATTTTGCGAAGCTGGGTTCAGAGCAGATTTTTATAAAGTATTTTTTTTTTTAATTTTATTTATTTATTTTTTCCCCCAAAGTCCCAGTAGATAGTTGTATGTCATAGCTGCACATCCTTCTAGTTGCTGTATGTGGGACGCGGCCTCAGCATGGCCGGAGAAGCAGTGCGTCAGTGCGCGCCCGGGATCCGAACCCGGGCCGCAGCAGCGGAGCGCGCTCACTTAACCGCTAAGCCACGGGGCCGGCCCAGAGCAGATTTTTATATTGGTGCAAATTTGTCCAGTAAACGGGGCTTTGTTGTTACTGTTGGTAATGGATCTGATAACGGGGACGCATACCCCAACTCCATCAAACTCCATGTGGAAACTGAGGCTCAGGGAGAATTGGGTGCCTAAGGTTGTACAGCAAGGGGGGTCCAGAATCTTCCCCTCGGGCCTCAGTCTGGACAGGCAGGAGGTTGAGGTGCTAAAGGACCCTCCAGCCCGAGGCCTGGGGCTGACGGGCTGTCCCTTCCTGGCCAGGCCAGCTGTCAAGAGCATGCCTCTGTGCCATTGGCGGGCCACCACCAAGGGCAGCCAGCCCGATGGGGATGGAACTCAGCTCGTGGCCACCAGCGGAGGCCTGAAGGTACTTCTGCACTGGGCTGGCCCCGGCGGCGGGGAGCCCTGGGTCACCTTCAGCGAGGCCACGCTGACCGCGGAGGAGGTCTGCATCCACGTTGCACACAAAGTCGGTGAGTCCCGTGGCAGGGGTTGGGGTGCTGGCAGCAGCAGGGGCCCATCCGTTCAGCCGCCTGCTTGTTCATTCAGCAGACACTGAGTGAGCACCTTTGTGGAAGTGATATTCCAATAGGAAAATCAGCCAGAAACACAATAAATAAGAAAACCGCATAGGAGGCCAGAGAAGATGGCAAAACATTAAAAACTTAGGGAGATAAGGGAGGGAGCCACAGGGATATCTGGAGAAAGATGGGACCAGGCAGAGGGAACAGCATGTGCAAAGGCCCTGAGGTGGGAATTTGCCAGCAACAGTGAGGAGGCTGGCGGAGTGAGTGAAGGGGAGCATGGAGTAGGCGAGGTGACAGCACAGGTCGTTCAGGGCCTGAGGGAGGACTTTGGATTTTACTCCAAGTGAGGCAGGAGCCACAAAGGACATGACTGGACTCAGGTGTCACAGGTACTGTCTGGCGGCCGTGAGGGGAACAGATTGTGGCAGGTGAGGGCGGGAGCAGGGAGACCAGGGTGCAGGTGACCTCCAGGTGGCAGATGATGGGGGAGAGGTCAGCCAGGGTCAGATCTTACAGTGCCTTCAATGCCAGAGGGAGGAGATCAGAGTTTAGACTTTCTACTGAAGGCAGTAGAAAACCAGGGAATAGCTAAGAGATCCTGCAGTAATGTGCTCAAAGTGTGATGTCTTCTGCCAGAGGAGGAGAAGGTCTCTCCAAGGGGACTTCACTTACAGCCCCTTCCTCCAGGAAGGCCTCTCAGATGCCCCCCCGCTAAAAGTGGCTGGAGGCCTTCTGGTGGATTTCTGCATGCCTTGTATTTTCCCACCGAGGGCTGACCGTTAAAGAAGTCAGACAGGTTTGCTGAGTGACGCGACACATGCCTGGCAGAGGGCCCAGAGAATTTGATCTCTTTGAGGAAGCAAAAGACCTCCAGAGTAACTGGAGAGTTCGTTTGAGGAATTTGGTAGAGGAAGTAGGAATTAAAACCAGAACATAATTGTCAAAGTCCAGGTCACACTTATTCTGTGCCGAGGGGGTTGGGCTTTCTCAGGGGGCAATGGGGAGCCATGCAAGGTTCAAGTGAGAGAGTAAAATAGTCAGATTGGTTCTTCAGAAAGTTGTCTCTCAGGGAGGCATTCTCCTTCTGCAGGAGGCGGTACACTTGGATACAGCAACTTTAGAGAGCAATTTGGCATCATCTAACACAGTTGAAATATACATTCTCTGAGGCCACACAGTTCCACTTCTAGATATGCACTCTACAGACACTTAGCTCAGGTGCCCCAGGAGACACATGAGAACGTTCAGAGCTGCCTCACTTATCTTAGTGAAAAAGAGGAGACCATTTTGAGGTCCTTCTACAGGAGAACGCACAAATAAATTGCAATATGGTGGAACACTGGAATACTATTCAGCCAGTAAAAAGGAATTTAACCAAAGTTACATATATCACATGTAAAATCTATTAAAAGCTATTGTAGCATGAAAAAGCAAATTGCAGATGGACACATAATCTAATACTGTGTTTAGAGTTTATAACATTCAAGACTGGGTCATGGAGGATATGAAAATGATAAACTCTAGTTCAGGAGTGTGGTTAGCGCTTCGTGGGAGGGGTAAGGAGGTGGATGTAGGAGGGGGCTTCCATTCACTTGCCAAATTTTATTTCTTTATCTGGCAGCTAGTAGTTAGGTGATGATAAATTATTCCAAATGGACTATTTTTGATAAAATTTTTAAGCGACGTGTATAAAAATGGCACCTTGGGTGGCCAGTGTGGGGAATGATGGCGAGGCTGGAGGCTGGAGTAGGCCTGGGCTTTAGCTTTAAAGGAAGTGCGTGGGTCCCAGAGAGATGGAGGATGCGGGGAGAGCAGGACTTATGCTCGATCTGATGTGGCGGGGGTGGGAGGAGTTGAGGACAAGGACCAGGTCCTTGCTTAAAGAACTGGGCAGAGGAGGGGCAAGTTTGGGGACCCCAGATGAGATCTGTGTGGAAGAAGGCACATCTAAGGGGGCTTGTGATGTCCAGGGAGAGACAGCCAGGAGGTGCTGGGATATTTCTTCAGGGCTGGAGTTCAGAGAGAAATCAGGCAAAGTGCGTTTGTAAAGATGTATTAGTCAGTCTATGATAGGTTTTGCTGCAGTAACAAGCAGCCCCTCAAATTTTCCTGAGTTAAGACAATGCAGGTTTACCTAAAATCTAATGCCCGTCAGATGGTTCATTTCTATTTTGTAAGTTTCACCACCAGGCAAGAGGAGTCTCCAGCATCCCTGGGGCAGGGAAGATGGCAGGAGGGTTTATTTCCAGGCCTGGGAAAATGCGCATCCCTTCTCCCCACATCCCATTGGCCAGAAACTGGTCCAATGGCAGCATCCTAGCTGCAAGGGATGCTGGGAAATGTAGTCTCCTTTGAGGCCTCAGCACAGTCAGCATATTGCATTGCCCCTGTCAGCAGGGGAGGAGCCCCAGGGAGGGCTTGTGACGGCAGGTCTGGAGGGTTCACGGGCTGTGGCAGCAGAGGCTGACCCCTGACCTCATTTCTCCCCCGTTCCAGGCATAACTCCACCGTGCTTCAATCTCTTCGCCCTCTTTGATGCCCAGGCCCAGGTCTGGCTGCCTCCAAACCACATCCTGGAGGTCTCAAGAGACACGAGCCTGACACTGCACTTCCGCATGAGGTGGGCGAAGGCCCTTGGAAAACTGGGCCCCTTTTGTTCTGCCCCCTCCCTCCCCTACGCCCCATCTTCCTGGAGCTGCTAAGCCCAGCTGCGCCCCCTCCCTTCCCACAGGTTTTATTTCCGGAACTGGCATGGCATGAACCCTCAGGAGCCGGCCGTGTACCGCTGCGGGCCCCCGGGGGCTGAGGCCCCCTCGGAACAGGCAGAGCAGGGGATGCAACTCCTAGACTCAGCCTCCTTTGAATATCTCTTTGAGCAGGTGTGAGCAGGGCTGGGGAGGCAGGACTATTTGTGGGGGACTTGGAGACAGTTGAGGAGCCCCCCCTTGCCTCCCCAGTTCACTCTAGCTAATAGGTTTCAACTCATTTCATCTGGGATCCTTTGGCTGCCTGAACCAAAGGGTTCTCAGACTCTTAGGATTGCCCGGGAAAGACTGCTGTGATCGATTAGTGATGTCTGCCACAGGCACAAGGTTGGGCAGAGGAGGCATGAATGCTGCATATTTGGCCTTTCCAGAAAATGGGGGTTCTCTCGCCTCCCCAAAGCAGCCAGAAGCTGGGGGATGAACAGGTTCTCATGCCTCGTTTTCTGCCCGATTCCCTCATCCCCAGGGCAAGCATGAGTTTGTGAACGATGTGGCATCACTGTGGGAGCTGTCGAGCGAGGAGGAGATCCACCACTTCAAGAATGAGAGTCTGGGCATGGCCTTCCTGCACCTCTGCCACCTCGCTCTCCGCCGCGGTGTCCCCGTGGAGAAGGTGGCCAAGAAGATCAGGTGTCTGGGAATGGGGGGGGCGGGGACACTGCATAGGTGGATGGAAGTGTCTGAGCATCTGGGGGCCAGGGTCGACCTTGCATACTGCCACGCCTTCATTCACGCCACAAGCATTTATTGAGCACCTACTGTATGCTGGCAGTAGTTCTGGGTGTTGAGGACACAGCAATGAACAAGTCAGACACAAATCTCTGCCCTCCTGGAGCTCACATGGGGTGAAAGAGACAGGCAGTAAACAAAATACAAAAGTAAAAGGTTCAGTGTTTTAGGTGCTGATAAATGCAATGGAGAGAAGTTCAGCAGGAAGAGGAGGAAGGGGAGTGTCAGGGAGCAAGGGGCGTACAATTTAACACTGGGGAGTCAGGGAATTCCTCACTGAGAGTTGACATTCAAATGCAAAGATGTGAAGGAAGCGAAGGAGGGAGCCACATGGGCATCTGGGAGAAGAGCGTTCTGTATAGAGAGCACAGCCAGTGGAAAAGCCCTGGGGCCGCCTGATATGTTGGAGGAAGTGTGCTAGAGCGGGGTGAGCTTGGAGGACTCCTGAGAATTTGAGGGAAGGACGCTGGAGTCTGGGTTGCTAGGAGCCAGCTATGCTCACCTCCATTGCAGTGAGGGCTGGGGCAATCAGGGCACACTGCCTGGAGGAGGCATCAGGAAAGCTGGGTCTTTCAGGACCAGTGGTTCTTCTTAAAGCATGTATTTTTCAGTCCCTGTCGTGTTATCACTCTGGAGGACTAGAGCCCAGGGTGCTGGGAAGCCCAGAGAAGGCACCCTATCCAGCCTGGAGATCAGAGAACGCTATCCGGGGGTGGTGCCATTGCTGCTGAGACCTGAGGTTGAGTCGGCTTTATCCAGCAAGCGTTCTAGGCAGAGGGAACAGCATGTCCAAAGGCCCAGAGGCAGAAGGTGGCAAAGGCCTGTTTCCAGGGAGCTGAACTTGGAATGCAATTACACAAGTACAGGAGTGGGCTATGCACTAATTGGGGGGCCTTTTCCTGAGGGCACTAGGGAGCCTTGGAAGGCTTGGAAGTGAGGGCAGGAGGCAGCCACAGGATCCCTCTGGTCAAGGGATGGGAGTGAAGGCTTGGGACATGGAGACCGAGGCTGGAAAACCCCGTGATCTCGGTGGGTTGGGGGCAGGCCAGGTGATGGGGGGATGGGGCAGGGGGTAGGGCTTTGTAAGGAGCAGAGGGGCCTCCCTTTTATTGATAGTCATAATATCAATGATAAAAACAATAGCAACTTCTCCCGTCACAATAACACCCGACGCTCGTCCTTATTATGTGCCAGTCGTTGGTCCTAACATTCTCATCGGCTCTAGAGGTGGGTACTGTTTGATCCCATTTCGCAGATGAGAAGACGGAGCCCTTTAGAGCTTAAGGAAGTCGCCCAAGAGCTGGGATTTCAGCCCCACAGTCTCCTCCAGAGGTCTGGGCCCTGGGCCCTGACTCCACCTGGCCTCGCTGTATAGAACATTCTGGCCCTTTATCCTGTTCTCTCTTCCACCCTCAGAACAGCCTGGCTGTTTTCTAGACGGGGCAGCTGAGGTTCAGAGAGGTTAAGCCACTTGCCCCGCGTCACCCGGCC